CAATACACGGATTGAAAAATATCCGTTACAAATGCGGATAATCTTACGTTAATATTTACTATTAACAAATAAATTTGGTCCAAAAAATTAATCAATCAATTATTTGACCAAATCCGTAGCCGTAGCCGTAGCCGAGCGACGACAACGACGGCGTGAGGTTTGCTTTCTTCTTAACTCTTTAAGAGCTACAAGAAGAGCAATTATATATATACCCACCAAAAATCTTTTCTTCTTCCAATATGGGACAATGTCTCATTGTCAAGAGGGGAAAACTTAAAATTTTACTCAAAAATTTTATTTTTCCTCCATTTCCCATTCACCCTCATTTTAAGACTATTTCATCTTAAATAACAAAAACCTCAACAATTTCTGTATGTCATAATAACTTATCCGCGGAGCATGCTAACTTTTAGTTTTTTGGCTTTAGATGTCAAGATCTGGTTCCTTTCTATTATCTACTTCATATCGGGTGTTCCAGGAGCCTATATATTGTGGTATCGTCCTCTTTGTCGTGCTTTTAGGTAAATGTTCCTGTATTTTGTAGAACTGAACATTTACTTTCAGAACTTTATTGGACAATTTCTAATGCAATACCCAATGTTATCAAAGGCGCGATTAATTCCTGAATCGAGGCTCAAAACATGTTGAGCGCTTCGCGTGTTTAGCGGGCGCTTCAATGTTGTCATCAAGGCTGTAAGGCATATTTTTCCTTGCCAATAGCGTAATCCTAAAAAGACGATATTAAACAATTGATATTTTACTTTATCTTAAATTTTCTTCAATTTCTTTATCCATATATTTGTTATTCATTCTTATAGATATTAGTCTTGAACTACACATACATATTTGTAGTATTTCTCCATTTGTGTCTTTCTTCATTAAAGCCCGCGCTTTATTTTGCGCGCTGCGCTTAAAGCCCCAACAACCCTTATAGCTTTTTTGCGCTTTTCACCTTTGATAACACAGGCAATACCGCAAATTGTCACTTGAGTTTTGGTCATGTAGCTGAAATATTATAGCTTACAAGGTTGTTATTGTGGCATTCATTATTTAGATCTTGTGTGGGGCTAACACAAATATTTTATCACAGAACTGAGGGTGTCGTGCAGTTTGCGGGATTTTTCTTGTTTTACAAAGTAAGTTCCCTAGAATTGTTTTTCTTCATCTAAATGGGTGAATGCAAAGATATCTTATATTTTGCTTTTGTGCATAGCTTCATATTATATTCTGCGTCTTTGCTGCTGTTTCTCCTCGAGTAGTTTTCGATGGAAAATCACTTACGTAAGTTTCTTTCTTAATTCGTACGACTTGTTGGAACGAGCATTAGTCCTTCTTTTAGCTAATTGCTTTTAGATTTCTCTGGATTTTGCTCTAAGTTGTTGCAATTATTATCTGGTTTCATGATCTGACCTTTTACAATTTGTTGGAACAGAGGCATTCTACCTACATTAGATCTCATGAGTGATGACGTACTTGTTGGGGTATGTATTGAACATAGTCAACTGGTTTAATGAAGTATAGCATACAAATTATAGGAGTCTGCCTGTTTAACATGAATATGCTATTTTCCCTGTCTTAGATTTTCTATTTCGTCGGTTTTGGGCTGTTTTGTCTTGAATCTGTGCTGAGCATCTTGGTTATAGGTATGGCCTTTCTTATTTGATTTCTATACAGTTTATTCTATTAGTCAAAGTCTCGTGGTACAGAGGCGGACCCAGGATTCGGCGGAGCACCATGATATTCAATATAAATTAATTACTGCTTCTAAAGATTGGTACGGAGTCTATGCTAATATCTAATTATTTCTTGAAGACATTTACAAGTATATATGGAATTTTTGTCGAAGTTTTCGGGTGCTGGTGACCCCTCTACGTATAGTAAGTGCATCCGCCTTGGGTTCAGATACCGGATCCGGATGTGTAAAGCAAAAGAAAATTGTATTATGTGCGAGACCTAACATCACTGTTTCTTTGTGATCTCATTATGCAGTAAATATATATGTATTTCTGTGGAAGTCGTAAAGCCGTAGAGATGAAGCGCGAAGATGCTAGAGGGGCCTTGAGAGGAGCAATATGGCTGGTGAAGTGTGGTATATATAGAATTTGGTCACTTGTGTCAGGCAAATATGCTTGTTTCATATGTGTGAGTTATTGGACGGGAGCCTTAGAGCAAGCAATGATGAAGTTGTCTCTTTGTAACCTATAGGTTACGAGTTCGAGCTGTATAAGCAGCTACTAATACTTGCATTAGGGTAGGTTGTCCACATTATACCCTTGAAGCGTAACCCTTTCTTAGACCACGTGAATACTAAATACTTTGTGCGCCGGATTGTTTTTATTTTATTTTATATGTTTGAGTTATCATTCTTGTAATATGAGTCTTCATTTATACTACTCTAATCACAATGGTTTTTAGAAAAAAATAATAAAGAAATTTACATCTTGTGTTCGGGTTGGTATTTAGTAGAGGTGTACATGAATCGGGTTGGTTCGATTTTTATCAAAATCAAACCAAACCAACTATATCGGTTTGTATTGGTTCGGTTTTGTCGGGTTTTCGATTTTTTTTTTTGTTATATGAATATTATTCCAATCTTACTTTATTAAAATTATAGATAAAATTTTGATAAGTAAATGTATGTTTAGTAAATATCTATCTATCTATCTATATATATATATATATATATATATATATTAAAGGATAGTTTTGAATTTATAGATAAAGTTTTTAAATTTGAATTAAAATAAAAAAGAAATTTATCTTTTGTTATTATGTTATCATACTTAATTCGGTTAATGATTATATGCAATCATATTAGGAACTTTTGTTATCTTAATTCAAATTATTTAAATACTACTTCGCCTCCAAAAAAGAAAAAAGTTACTCCATATAACTATAAAACTCTTTTACATTTAAAATCCTATAATTATAGTTCTTTAAAATACTATAGCTAGATTTGAATAAAGCAAATTTCTTTTAAATAAATGTAATATATAGGGACACGTCTATGTTTATCCAGATAACAAAAAAAAGTTTAAAAGTTGATAAAAATTTACTTACATATATAATAAAGTAAACCTACATGCTGGAGAAAGAAACATTACAAAAATCGGTCAATATTCAAAACAAGTTATTTTTTTTTCTTTTTGAAAAATGTTAGTTTGAAGAGTCAAGTAGTATAAATGGACATCAAACAAATAACAAAACTCTGGCTATACAATTGCTATCATTAATTTCTATTTAACACCTTCAAGTAATTGAAGGGTATAAGCCGAAACCTCTTCATTTAGCTGCAGTCAAACCAACATTGCAAGGGGTATAGTATTTTTTTCGTTGAAGAATATTAGTTTTGAATCATTAGATTATGTGAAAGATTTTTTTTTTTCTCAAATTCAACAAGAGGGATATTGGTTTCTAATTGATAGTTTCTATAGCGATTTTCAAGTGTAACAAAAAGTATATTTAAAAAAAATTGTATGACGTGAAATAGTTATTTTTAAAATGTAAACAAATTATTTCGAAATGGGATTATTTTTTAAATTATAATATAATTTTTAAAATAAAAGATAAGATATTTTAAATTTTAGTAGAGAGTTTTTAAAATAATTATAATAGAAGTCATATCATGGATAAAATCAAGAAAATGATTATTACATAAATATCCGGCCAGATTTATTGTTTACTTTTTATAGCTAATATAGCTAAAAATATATTATCTATTAAAATATTCTAATGGGAGAATATTTTTAGTAATACATGATAGTTATTTTCTTAGTCATCTAACAATAATTTCGTTAATGTACGCTTTCAAGGTTAACACAGAGAATTCCAAATATTTCAATATTTTTTAAAGAAAATTCAATATAAAGTCTTAAAACATATATAAAAATTATATATTTATATGTTGGTTTGGTTCGGGTTTTTTTACTCAATACCAAACCAAGTCAAACCAAACCTAGTCGGATTTTTTAATCTGTTTGATTTGATTTTTCGATTTGGTGCGGTTTTTCGGTTCAGTTTGAATACCGCTTGTATTTAGTAACTACTAGTATCATTTTATTTGATTTCGAGTTGTTTTCAATGGTCAAAATTTAAATTTAAAAAGTAGAAATGAAAAATAAACGAAAGACGGCAGCAACGAGATCAAAATACATATTCCAAGCGCGAGGCGGTCAATTCTATTATTTCTGTGATCAAAGGTCGTACAATGTGAATAAATTAGGTTGGGATGGTCAAATTCAACATGGTATTTAAAGGGTTTATTGGAATAGCTGGACAATATTGAAAATTAAACTCATCTCTTAAAATTTATATCATTGTTATCATGTCGATGTCATCATGTTATTATTGGTTTGTTATCGTACTATTAACGGAGTATGTATGATAACACGTTATTATCTAACTTAAAATTCGATTATTAGATTTACAAAATTAGGCCACAAACATCTAGATTAAACTAATGCAATTGAATCAGTGTTGATGAAAGATATTGTTATATCAAAATAATAAGAACACGAGAAAGAAAATCTTAGTGATTAATCTTCAATGGACGAAATCGAATGAACAGTGGAGACGATTAAGAAAGCTATAGCGATAATTTTAGTATAATAGTATCGTGTAGTATAATTAGAACTTGTTACGATGTTGCAACAACAACGATCATCCAGTATAATCTCACAAGTAGGGTCTGAAAGTGTTACGATGTTGGGAAAGGAAAAATATTTGTAGGGTAACCTAATTTTAATAGTTTGATAGGATTTCTCCTATACGTTACAAGCAATAGAGATGGACCCCGTCCGTTATGCTAGCTAAATCGTAACTGCAAGACGTGGTCAATGAAAAATCACAAATATCTCTGAATTCTTTGGTCCAGAGAAGGTGCGGGCGGATTGCTACGGAACGACCTTGTTCGGTACGGGTATGGCGATGTTCGTATCGGCTCCTTGATCTTCAATCTTCGATCTATGTGACTCCGGGCAATTTGGAGCTGACTGTGAAATGCTTGTCTACGTGCTGACTCATTTAGTAGCGAATACCAATACAATTATAACAAGTTAATAATAACCTACAAAATTTATTTGTGCAGAAAAGTTAAAAAGATATTTATAAATTGTTGAATACAAAAATGTATTTCATTAGTGTCTTTGTTTTTTTTACAAGACGCAAATTCCTGTTATGTGTCTCTCCTCTTTTAGCTGCATTTTCTCCGTGTCTATACCAAAAATTTCAATACCCTTCAAATATAAAAGTCGTCCACTATATTCACAACTGACCAACCCCCCACCCCCACCCCGGCCCAACTAGAGGTGTCAATGGTTCGATTCGGCCGGTTATTTTATAAAATTTATACCATATCAATTTTTCGGTTATTCTCGTATGTATAACCAAAATTACACTTTTCAAAATCATCCCAATCATGTCGGTTTCTCTTCAGTATCGGTACGGTTTGGTTAATTTTCGGTAATTATTTTAAATGTCATGTAAAAATCTCTGGTAGAATTAGAATGCAATAACATACGTACTTTTATATGACTTAGCAAAATTCTCTAGACATTTTTACAGTTTAAAAAGTGATGAATTACGAAAATATGAAAGATGACTAGAGTATAGATCCATCAACTATTCTACAACATTGTAAAAGAATCTAAGTAAATAGAAAAAAATATTAATCACATGAGTGGAAAGATATTAATCAAATTGGGATTCAAGAATAAAGTCTAGAAGATTAATTCAAAGATATTAATCAAATTGGGATTCAAGAATAAAGTCTAGAAGATTAATTCAAAGATATTAATCAAGTTGGGATTCAAGAATAAAGTCTAGAAGATTAATTCAAAAAAATAAATCTAAATCATACGAAAGGAAACAAATTGAATACATTATAGTTTGCTATATATAATCACTACAATACCTTATCCCTTGCGAGTGAGTATACTGAAAATACTTTAGTTTCAATAAAAGTAACATAATAAATTTAAAAATTAAAATTTTGAGTTTAATTAATTGTTGGCATGTAACATAATAGTTGTGTGGTCTAGTCCGTTTTTAAATTAAATTGACACCCCTAGGCCCAACCCCCTCCAAATTTTGTATGCAGCAAAGACTCTCTCTCTCTCTCTCTAGAATGGTAGAATTCCCTTGATTTTCTTCAGCCCTCAAATTTTGATTTTTTTTTTCCCAAGACTTTTCCATTCTTCCTTCTTTAGTAAGCTTTTTCAGCTATTTTGACTATATTCAGATCTCAGCTAATTCCCCTTCTTTACTTCTTCCTCTTTCTCCCTTGTGAATTTCTTTGAGAACAGTAACAAACACTTTTGCTGAAATGGGTAGCCGTTATGATACCAATCCTTTTGCTGAAGAAGAAGAAGTTAACCCCTTTGCTGTATGGTCCTTTCTCTTTCTATATTTTATACTCTCATTTATGTGCTACTCTTTCCTTTTAGTCTGTCGCAGTAAGAATTATAGCTTTCTGTGGATTTTTATATACCAAAACTCTTTTTTTCTTAAACTCGGTGTCAAGTCAAATATCATCACATGAACTATGGTTGATTTATGGTTTATTTCCGACATTATGATGCTCCTTTTTTTTTGGGGGGG